GTAAGGTTGGAAGGGACCTCTTGAGACTGTGTAGTGCAAGGCCCCTGCCTAAAGCAGAGTCAACTACAGCACGGATCGGAGGGCCATGTCCAGGCACGTTTCCAGTATCTCCAATGATGGAGACTCCGCCACCACTCTGGGCAACCTGATCCACTTTGACCGCTCTTACAGTTTAAGATGTTGTATGTTAAAACAGTATTTCCTACATTCTAGTTTGTGCCCACTGCCTCTTGTCCTGTCACTGGGCACTACTGCAAAGTCCTGCTCAGTCATCTTATAACCTCTCCACTAGGTATTTGTACACAAGGTAAGATCCTCCCAAGCTTTCTCTTCTCCAGGCTCTTGCAGCTGTCAGCCTCTTGTAGGACAGATGCTCCAATCCCTTAATCATCTTCAGGACCAGATCATGTTTCAGATTGGGAACTCTGGCCAGGAAGTCAAGCTAGCTGCTTTTGTACCAGCTTTCTGACTTCTCTTGTGCTATCTGATAGAGGCAGTACTTCAATTATACCAAAGTCTTCTCCTCTTACAGGCCATTTTGTTAGTTTCACACATTGCCCTAGTCTAGACTCAGTAACTTACTATGATTTTTACTTCTTTGTGTAGTGACACATGGATTTGAAACTAAGAGAGGGTCACAAAACAGTAAGTCATTTGTTCAGAGAGAAGGCATTTTGTCAAAACAGATAAGCCTCCATTTAAGTTCTTGTTGCTTTAACCTTTACTGCACGTTAAATAACATGAACAGAATACTTTAATTTTCTACAGCTGTCTCAAGAACATTACTATATTTTGTAGTATAACTACATGACTTGATGGCTGAATAACACAATTGTCGCACTTAAGACATTTTAATGTACCACACTCTAGGTAGTGCGTTGCAGCATTTCTAGTTGGCTTGTCTGTAGCAAACTATGTTAATAACTGCTAAGTTTACATCATCTTGCATCTTGGTATAAACAGCAGAATGCATGCTGTAGCCTGTTCTACAGCTTTTTTAATAAAAGTCTGATGCGTAAGCTAATTAAGTACAGGAAATTTTTTAATCAATAAAAGATTTTTCAATTACTAATCTTTGAGCTTTTAAAGCTTCTTAGTAGCAGATTGTAAAATTATGCTAGTTGTAGTGAACTGAACCACTTTAAAACGTGCCTCCCATATAGCAGAAAGGACTCAAATACTAAAAACCAAGAAAAAAAATAATCACAAAATATAAGTTTATTTACTACTTCAAAACATTTCAAAAGCAGCTAAGACATTTCTAAAAAAAAGGAAAAACTAACAAGACTTAAGTACAATACTCTAGAATAGCAACACGTCTTTAGTAAGATTTATAAACAGGGTATCACTAGTTTAGAAAACATCTAACACTACATTTGTGAAAATAAATTTAGCAGTGTAATCAATTTTAAGGTGGTCACTTGAAGCAGAGAGGCTGAAACTCAGGCCTGTTTTTGCTATGTTTAACTTAGTAGTATTGATGACATTGGAAATCGTTGATTTGATTACTGGCATCTACAAATGAAATGGTATAAAAAAAGCAACAAACCAAGGTCAGACCATCTCAAGTAGCACTTTTGAAATAAGACATGTTTTCATCTTCATGTAAAGGGCTATGAAACATGATTTGTATATGAACTAGCAAACAAGATTTCTGCATGAAATGAAAACAGACTAAAAGAGAACATGGGAGAAGCAAAGCAAATCCTGTTAAAAATTAACAAGCAGTACAAGACAGACATTTGAACAAATGTTGGATTCAAATACAAAACCATTTACCATTTAAGTGCAAGGCTGAAGTCACAAATTAATGTTCTTTAAACTCTATTCCTAGCCTAAATAAAGCTCAAAAGTAATACTGCTTGCTTTCACTGTTCACATGTAAGTTCCACAGCACATTGTAACAGCATTTGGTACAAACTTGTATAAAGATGTTTTCATCATCCGTTGCTGGTGTAGTAAGATCTTAAAATTCTTTAAGAGTTTGATGGTAATAAGACAGACAGTTAACAGATCAAAAAAAAAAAAAAAAATCTTCCAAGCCTAAAAACTGCTGGTTTTTCCAGGTAAAACGCTTTAGGCAATACAGTGGTCAGATCTGTTCCCTTGCATTAATGTAACAGAAGGTATAGACTATTAAACTACTGTTCCGATGGGACAATCAGTTTAGCAATAAAAACTACTTTTTAAAGTCTATATTTTGAATTTGCTAGTCCATATTTACTGCAAGGTGCCTGATGCCAAAGAAGCTGTTATAGTAATAAACCGTGCCCTTTAGTTCAGGGTACTGCTGCGATCACAATTAGAACAATGTCCAGTTTTCAACACATTACTGGTTATCAGAATTGCTAATTGCCCTGCAACTGCCCACATTCTGTACGTAAGAGTCTAGTCATCAGCTACTACCTCAGGTACCCCAGATTTACCGAGGTATCTTCTCAAAAGTATACTTAAAGATATGAATTTAAGTTCAGTATTTGAAACTGCCTCACTGCAGTGAGATCAGAAATCTGGTTGTTCTCAGTAAGACTGACCTAATCTTAATAATCTTGTAATATTTATGTATTCAATCTGCAGAGTCTTAAGGAAGACACTAATCAAAATCAGTTCCAACTTAGCCATAAAGAGTAAAGCCAGATGAGTGACATTACCTTCTCATGAACACTGTTTTCCGACCTCACAGGGAATACAAGCAATACACATACACATCAAAAATCCACCTAGAAGTAATTGAAATAACTGGGACTCAAACTTGTCATAATCAAAAGAATCCTTAACTTTTTGAAAGTGGATACATTGTATCAATTGAAGTATTCAGCAGATTAATCTTTAGTAAAGCTTGCTCTAAACATGGAAGACAAGTCACGATATACTGTATACAACCACCGTTTTTTAAGCCACCAGCCCCCACAAATCCCAAATTCTTAGCAATGCAATAGATGTATTTTCTAGCCACTTTTTTTTTTTTTTAACACAATAAATCTTAGCAGCAAAAGAGAAGCCATACAGAAGATAACAGAAGAAGTTTTGTCTCATGGTTTATAGAAATGAATTATAGAAAATGCTTGATTAGTTTTAGAAATGCTTAAGGTTCGCTTGAGTATGTTTACAAATGATCATGAAAGATCTTGAACATTTATCAGCCATGGGTTTCACAAGGAATACCTGTATGTACATTGATAGGAAGTTAGAGCTACGTGCAGTAATTCAAGAAACTCAAATTTAACTCAGTAATCCCATGCACCCTGAATCTAAAGTTTAGGAAATACACATTTCTTAAACAGCTCCCCCCCGCCCCCGTCCCCAATAAGCTGCTCTTGACAGACTAAAAAGGAGCATGGTACTTCATCAGCTGAAAGAAATAGTATGAATGTATCTTACACAGTTATAATATCTTATAAATACAGTTAAACTTGAATAAGCAAAAAATCCCCAAACAGATTCTTACATTACCTTCATAGAGGGATGAAAGTTAAGACACCATTGCAACTATTCAAGTGAACCATGTACTCAGAAGTCCTGAACAGCAATTTCTAGTTACCTCTATTTTTGAGACACTGTGGGAGACTAGGTCACTTGTATTATAAAAGGCATATAGCAGGACAAATAGTGATGTGACTTCCTGTTCTTAGAACCACTGTTCTTTCTTATTCCTGAGTTTTTAACCCATTACAAGAGGAGCTCCATTTATTGAAAGAAACACATAGCAAAGTAAGGACTAACTTAGTGTATGTGTGACAAATTGAGTTAAATATACAGTTTGCCAGGAGAACCTCT